TACTTAGGACTGAAAATTTTCACGAACGGATCTCGAACATACCAAAAACCATTTTTCTTTTCTTTTCTTTTCTTTTTTCTCCTTTCTCTCTCACAATTTTTCTTTTCTGCTTTTTCTCTTTTTCCATTTTTCCTCCCTCCCACTTTTCTTTTCTCTCTATATTTCTCTTTAGGATTTGTGAAAATGCGTCAATTGAAGGCAATATATATAATAACTAAATAGTTGTGATAATGATAATGATAATTACCTACCTAGAATTTTAATAGACTCTTAATTATAATTTAAATTGGGTTATTAACAAATAATCTTAGCCAAAAAAAGTCTAACTACATGAGAATAAGATTCTAGTATAAATATGTAAAAATTCTAAATTAACAATATAGACATTTAATAGTTATTTTGAACAATTATAGCTTGATTTATTGTATATTTCATTTATTAGGTGAAACTCGACGAATAGAGAAAGTTATAATAAAAATATTGTTCACAGTTTGAATCACTCAATCGAATATAAAGAGAGAAAGTCATAATAAAAATATTGAAAGATGCGATGTGCTGAGTTTTACCCGAAAGGTGGTACTGAGGTGCCACCCAACATAATGTCGTGGTGATGGGGTGCCACTCACATGGAGTCCAGGTGTCGTTGGATGAATCTAAGGCATGTGTTTGACCCTTTTTGAAGCCCATCAAAACTTTAAATTAGGAGAAATAGTAATGGGGAGTATAACTACAAGAATGTAGGCACTTTTGGGAAAATTTCATACATTGAGAGGCATTAAACATGCCTTGAGAATTTGAGAGAAAATCAAAATCGAAAAAACAATAATTCAAGATTGGAGGCAAGAAGAGAACTTGGTACAAGATTCATCATCTTTTCTACATTTCAATTAAAAACCCGGTTATATACTCAATGCAAATAATATGGATCGGTTACCTTAGATATATGTTAGAGAAGTAATTAAATTGCATGGGGAACCTAGTCTCTAATGTGTTAGAGATTCATTTTGAATTTTTGGAAAAGTATGCACAAGGCAATGGAGATTAAGCTAAACTTCAGTATGGCTTTTCCACGCACAGCCAGATGCTTAGTCGAAGACGACTATTCAAATTCTTGAGGATATGAGCTGAGCATGCATCCTAGATCTTGGAGGAAGTTGGGAAAAACATCTATCAATAGTGGAACTTGCTTATAATAATAGATATCATAGTACCATGGGAATGGCCACTTATGAGGCTTTGTATGGTAGAAGGTACAGATCTCCAGCTCATTGGATGAAGTTGGCGAGCAAAGAATTCTAAGACTTGAGATTATCGGGTGAACAGTCCAAGCTATTGAGAATGTTTGAATTAGAACAAAGATTGCCCAAGATCGACAAAAAAGTTATGCAGATAACATGAGGAATGATCTTGAATTCGAGATTGATGACAAAGTTTTCCTAAAAATAGCTCCTATGAAGGGAGTCATTCAATTTGACAAAAGGGGAAAGCTCCAAACAAGATATATATGGCCTTTTGAGATTTTGAAATGTGTGGGAACTGTGGCTTACGAGCTGGCATTGCCTTCTGAACTTTCAACTAGTACACAATATTTTTTCATGTCTCTATGTTTCGAAAATATGTATCAGATCCTAACCATGCAATTAATCTTCAATCGTTAGATATTCATTCAGATCTAACTTACGAGGAAGCTTCAATAGTCGCCTTGGATAGAAAGATTTGAATACTTTGAAAATAGAGAAATTCTATTGGTAAAAGTTCAGTTGCGGATCACGCGATTGAAGAGTCCACTTGAGAATGCGAGGCAGATATTAAATCTAAATATCCATAGCTCTTCAATAATTAAGATAATTTTCGAGGTCTTTTTTTTGGGAGGGGGTGGAGATTTAATATCCAGAACTTACGTACATTATATATTTGAGGTATAAGTTCATGTCTTGAGAATTTAAGGTAGCTTCGCAACGTTACCCTTTTTTTGGGACATTGTGCTAATATTTCTAAAAACTGGAAATACAAGTTTTACATGAAATTATGATTTAATATTTATTTTGAATATCTATTAAATCATTATCGAATTTTTTGATATAAAGGTGTTTAGAAAAATTTAGAATTTTCACATATTTGTACTAGAATCTTCATGTAGTTAGAATTTTATTTGATAAGATTGTTTTCTAAGAGTCCAATTTAAATTCTAATTATGAGTCATATTAAAGTTCTAGGTAGGTCATATCATCATCACAACTATTTAGTTATTATAAGGGTGTTTGAGCTCCATTTTTATGCAAAATGTATTTTAGAATAGTAGATTGATGAAAAATGTGTGGTTGAAAAATAAAGAATTTTTTTTTATTTACCTGTAATATTATCTTAATGAATAATGTTTAGTTAAAAAGAAGATAGAGAAAAAATGTATTTTGAGAAAAATAGAAATCAAAATATTGCCCTCAATTGACTCATTTTTCACAAATCATACAGAGAGAGAAGAAAAGTGGGAGAGAGGGGGGAAAAAAGAAAGAAAAGAAGAAAAAGTAGACAAGAAAAATCGTGAGAATAAAGGAGAAAAAGAGAAGAAAAGAAAAGAAAAAAGGACTTTTTGGCGCATTTAAGATTCATTTGCAAGAATTTTTAGTCCTAAGTAGCTCAAGTACACAAGGAGTTTAACAAATTAGATATGGATTTATCTAAATACCAAGTGATTTTGTGTTTTCACTTTTTAACATTTTAAATTATGTATTTTATGTGTTATTATGTGATCCAAATTAAAGAAGAATGTCGTGGGTAATACTATAGGATATTATATAGATCTATACAGAAACCCCATATGGCTAAATATCATAAATGGATATTGATAATAGGTATGATCTAAGTGAGAATAGACAGCCAAGTTTCTATCCCACTACAGAATTATGTTATGTGCGCATTTTACTTCCTTTTTATATTAAATTGTGAAAATATTGACATGAAATTTATATTAAGTGAATTCGTACGCTCATTTCTTATTTAAAATATTTTTCAAATGCTTGGTTGACAGAGTTCATAACGTTGGATCAAGATTTTTGTTTTCTTTCAATATTTAGCATTTAGTTTAAAATTGATTAGAGAAATTATTTGAGTAACCTTCGAAAAAGAAGTTTCGGGTTGTTACAAAAATTGTATGCACCAATATTCATTGTAACTTCCTAAAAAGTCTACATGTTTGACTTATTTGAAAATCATATTCTTTGTATCACAATAATCATAGAGGAATCTTGTACCCTGATAAGATATAAGGTTGTTTCAAGTCTCTATTTTTGCATGACGGGATTGTGCAATTGTAACATTTCTTTGATTTTGATCTCCTAACTTTTGCAAGATTAGGGTATGACGATACGAGTTGAGTTATGCGATTCAATTTTTACAATCCAATTTGCTGTTCATTAATTAATTATTGACACATCATTTTACATTAAAATTCACATATTTTTAGGCATAAGGAGTAGTTGGAGAAAAGTTGAAAATGTTAATTTAAAATGACGTGCCAATAATAGATAACAAATATCGGGCAACAAATCTTAACTCTGACGATACCGTGCTCTTTGCTTAAAAGTTAAATTGGACGAAAGGCTGTTTCAACTTTTAGTCTCATGAATGACTGTAGCAATTGGATCGACTCATTGCAATTGCTACTTTTTGAGGATTCTATTTTTCTCGTAAGCAAACAGGATGTTGTGATTACATGGTTCATGAATTATTTGGCGCTTGTCTCGGAAATGCATTTTGTCTCCTCTTGCCAAATATCGAGTACAGGCTCTAATCATCCTACAGGAGTTGGCATTCGAATTCTCAAACTTTCGATGTGCCCGATCGGGCTGTCCCATTCTTGGTTTAATAGGGGCATGGGTTCGGATTGTAACAATTTTTAGAAATTAATGAATAATGAGATACCCGTAATCTTCATATTATTTTGACTGTGTGAACTACAAGTTATTTAGCTCCTATCCATAGTATGGTGTTGATATATTTGGAAAACTCAAAGTACCTAGTTCAAGTTGATTTATTAATTAACAAAAGTAACCATCGAAGAGAGTGAAAGATCTTTTAAATTGGATATTTCTTTGAAATATTATGCACAAATAATTTCTAGGGATGAAACATATCAAATCTTTACTATGTTTGTTTGGAAAATTTTTAAAAATTTAAATTCAAAATCAATAATTAATTTTAATCATACATTTCACCGGGACCCATAATTTTTTATTTACTTTTAACTATATATTTCATTTAATTTTTTCAAATCTACTAAAACATATATCAAAAGTTTTGTCAAACAATGCCTTAATTGTCACGTAACATTATAGTAATATATCCTGTTTTGAAATTTTTTATATCCTTCTTGAGTTGAGAAGCAAACTTAGTTTTATAAAGTTGAACATGCAACGATCAATTTGGAAATTGATTGTGAAACTACGGCAAAGGGTTAAAATCAGATTGCTCCTTTAAAGATTGGAGTCAACTTGCTAGTAAAACAATAGATTGAGGACCAATGGTGCAATTTTCCATATCTCTTACCAAGAGTTGATCAAGTGACATGTCAATTCCTAGTATAGTACGAAAGCCTTCTTATAGGAGCTTTATTCCCTCGTGCACGGAAGGGAAGTTTTCAAAATATCTTATTTTATTATGTTAGGCAACTAAATAATTCTAATAAATAAGGTTTTTAATAAAATAATACATATCTTAAAAAAAAAAAAAAAAAGTTGAACACCAACTTTGAGCGCCCTACAACCCCGCCTTTAAAGTTTTATGAGGGAGGTTAATTGTGGGATGTGTCCTAATAGACTAGAGAATAAGAGCTGTATGTACACTACGTCTATAAAAAATTCAATTCCATATTTTAGGAATCGAATCCCCATACTATGGCTACTAGCAATATATGAGATCACTTCACTTCTATTCTTTGTACCACTAAATTATGTTCGGGCAAAATAATTCATATCTAAATATACTAAACGACGTCACCTCATTCTCCTCGTCACTTCCCAGTTCACTCAGGTGACAGCTGCTCAAACGTCGCCGTTTTTAGACTTACATCGTTGTGTCGGGATTTATCTTCCAGTTTGCGCCGTCTGGATAATTCGTTACTACTTCTACTCCCCATTTTCTCCATCTACAAAACAATTCCCAGGAAAAAAGGATAAATTTTGTTAAAATACTCGCCGGAAATCTGAAACGCTAAACCCCGGCGATGTCTTTACCGCCAGTTGGGGGTGATCTTCCAACTTTTCCGCCATTAACGCCATCGCCGCCGCTACTGGCACACAATGCAACCAACCCAACTCCTCTGGTGAACTCCACTAGTACAACTAGTGCTCCTCCACCGGTGGTTCTACTGCTGCCGCCTCCAACTTCTGGTAATATGACTCCAGAGGTGGCTCCGCCTCCACCACCACGGCCAGACACGTCAAACAGAAATACTACATTGATAGCACTGGGTGTGGGGATTGGTATAGGCGGGGGGATTGTGCTTGTTTGCCTGGTTATTTTTGTCTTTTGGTACAAGAGGAGAAAAAGGCACCTTGGATTGAACAGCTTTGCTTATGCTCCTGAGCAAGGGCCAAAAGGTATGTTTTGAATTGATTAATATGGATTACATTTTTCTCGAAGATTTTAGGCTTCACTTTATGGGTTTTTGCATAAGTACTCACATTAATGCTCAATTGTATATTAGAACTGAGCGTAGTGAAGAAACTAATGAAATGATTCCAGTAAGTGTTGCTGATCTCGAAGTGACAAAAATCATCAATACGTAATTATTTTTGTCTATAGAGATTAATTCACTGCTGCCATTTGATTTTAGTTGCTGGAATATATTGGCCTCACTTTATTACTTGCAACTATGCCCATGCATCAGTATTGCATTTACAATGCTGCTGAAATGAAACAATATGAATCATTATCTGTTGTTTCGGTTTTTCCCTCTAGTCTCCCAATTTCAGCATTTCGATCAGTTTGTTCGATTTGGGTATCTATGGTGGTAGGTTTGGCAATGAGGATTGTGCAATAGAATCTTGAAAATTATTTTTTATGGAAGAATTTCGGATAAGGTCCTTTTGGTGGTTCCAGTAACAATGACATGCAAAATTATATAGACATGAGGTCAATAATGACACATCTTCTGGGAAAAATATGCCAGTCAAGAGCAGAGGCGTCCCTGAAGGCGTGCGAGTTGAGCGACCGCACATGGCCACAACATTATAGGGGCACCAATTTTTTTTAGTGTATATATATGTAGAAGTACATATTTATAATGTTTTTATTAATTTTGAAATTTAAAATTTTTATTATTATATTAAGTTAAAGGGCACAATATTTATGAAAAAAGAGTAAAAAAATTATATTATGTTAATACTCGTTTAATTTAACATATACGGAAAAAAATTATTATAAACTATCTATTTTACTAGTCCTAATATCAAATGTCTAGTTAGCTTCATTAATCAATTGCCAACCTAAGAAGACAATAAGCAAGTCAAAATTCAAATGATTAAAGTGGAGAGTAAAAAACTAACACTAGATCCCTTTTTATTATTTCCCTCTTTTTCATCATTTAACCCACAAATAATAGTCAAATAAAGAACAGAAGAAACACTATCGTCAATCTTTGTAACTTACTCTACAATAGTACAATTTATGATTGGAGCCGGTTGTCCACTTGTTAATTGCTATTTCGTGATGTTTTATTTATTTTATTTTTTTTTGTTGTTCTGGAAGGGTAAATTTTTGTTGGATGAAAAATGATAGGTGATTATATTCAATTTTTGTGAATTTTTTTACCAAAAGAAACAAAAACAGGTTTGATATATTGATTTATTTGAGAAGATTGAATTGCTTTTTGAATATATTTATTGCTTATAGAATACTACTGACAATTCTAGTTATTGTAGCATCTGTCGAAAGTTCTTCAAAACTAAAGTTATTAAAATCTTATTTGTGACCACCCATATGACAAGAACAATTGAATGAGCTAGTTTTGATATCTATTGAAAAAGATTTGCCACAACATACCGATTACGAGAATATTAGTGAGTTTACTTATAAAAATCAAGAACAAATATTTTTACATGATTTGTTGCATTTCAAGATTTACACATGGTATTTGCTATTTTTGATTTCAAAGTTTAGTCATGTGAAATTGTTAGTTTAACAGGTTGGATGGTTTCATAAACAAAATTTTAAATTTCATATTTTTGCGATGAAATAATGCTATTGAAATATTTTTCATAATATATTTTTTATTACATGAAAGGGCAGGGTCAGTCCTGTGATTGACGAGCCCTGAGGCGAACTCTGTAAATTAAGCTCCTCACCGAAAGCAATGTAAATACAAAATTCAACAGTGTATTATGCGATCCATTGCTAAATTAAAAAATGTCTCGATCAGCTCACAATTATAGTTTCCAATATAGTTACTACATGCGCCTGTGCAATTGTTCATCCAGTAATAAGCAATCATATAAGCCGGCCAGACTACAATTATATAAGTCGACCAGGCTGCAGTTATATAAATCGACAAGGGTTCAAACATTTTCAATCTCTTCAATAACAAGTTAGGGCAAACCATTGCTTACTTGAGAAGTGGAATTTTGACGAAGATTGTAAAATTACGCCCTTGAGAATTATTATCCACATATTTTTGTGGTCTCCACCACTATTCCACCTAAAAATTTACAAATAATCAATCTCAAACAAAGGCAAAGTAATGGTTAACGACTTAATGTCAAAACAAAGATACTAACAGTAACAAATGATACATTCCAAACATAATAATTTGACCACCAGAGAATTTTGCATAGCTTTAATGATTTCTACAATTATCCAGTAGCATTATAAATTAGATAAAATGCCATTTATAGTCACAGACGAACGACCAGCGAAGCAGGGAGGCCAGCAGGCGCTTTTGTAGACTTCGAAGTTCGAGTGTTCCACTGTGTTCAACTACTTCGACCGACGTATGAAGAGGGCGGTGGGAACACAGAAGGGCGGAGGCTAGAGACGACTCGAACGTATGATTCTAATTTTAGATTTTAATTTGAGAATTTGGGAATTTCAGATGATTTTGGGAATTATAATGCCCTAGATCGTATGATTCTAATTTCAGATTTTGGGAATTTTGTAAATGGATCGTGGATATTGGACTTTGATATATAAGTTGGGTTGGGATTTAAGGGTGTTCTTTTGTTGTTAGATAATTAGTCTTTGGGCTGGCTCACCTTGTTAAAAAAAAAAAAAGGGCCAAAATGAGGCCCCTAATGGTCTTGGGATTGAGGCATAGGCCTCTGTCCAGGACCGGCTCTGTGAAAGAGATACCATTTTAAAATGTCGCACGGGGCACCAAAAACTTTAGGGCTGACCCTGGTCAAGAGAAGATGAGTACTATCATTAAAATCATGGTGGTCTAAGATATTAAAGATTTGCGATATCACAACTTCGCATTGTCTTGCATTTCAAAAATTATAAATACATTTTATCAACTTCTAATTGATTGAAGAAATCCAAAGAGCATAATGGTAAATTTACCGCCATCTCTTTTTTCTTGAAAAAGATATAAATGGACTTACCTCAGAAGGAAAAGAGTGATTTCATGATATTCGTAATCAAAACACCCTTAATGCATCTCGACTTCTAGTGTTCCACTGATAAACAAATTGTAACCTAATATCATTTGTTATGTTTTTGACATTTGCTTTAGTGCGGGGGGAAAAAATCTAAAAACTAATGTGTTGGATAGCGTGATTAATTGAGGAGGCTGGGATTGCATTGTTAAGATTTGGGGTCCATCTTAATAAGGTCAACCTTGTTAGGAGGAGTGTCTCAATCCTTTATATATTGGTCATTGTTTCGGTATTTTACCGATTTGGGATTATATTCCCTTAACATGCCCCCGCAAGATGGTGGCTCGTTTGAGCAGACCAATCTTGAAATTCGTGTGCTCATTTTTAGAGACTTAACCGGATCGAATCGCTCATGGGAGCTTAATGGGTTCTGATACCATGTTAAGACTTGGGGTCCATCTTAATAAGGTCAACCTTGTTAAGAGAAGTGTCTCAATCCTTTATATATTGGTCATTGTTTCGGTATTTTACCGATGTGGGATTATATTCCCTTAACATGCATTCTAATAGTTAAAACTGAATTATTGTGGGCCCACCTAGCTACTCAGTAACGGAGTTTGTCTGCAGTTCTCGAAATTATTTATGACAACAAAAGGATCTTCTCTACAAGCGAATTGATGCTGCACCAAGATTTCACCTCTTAACTGAAAGTCTGAAAATGACACTTTTAGTGTATCAGGTGTCAAAAAATGAGGCTAGCTATCATTTAAACAATGGGAAAGGTTATATAATTGTTTTGAGATCCATTTGCTAATTGCTGGCATATTGCATGGCAGTGGTCAAATAAAGTTTTTTCTACTATATTGCAAAGTGCCTTGTGTCAAACACTTCAGTTCAAGATTGTAGTAGGTATCCAAGTCCATCTATGAATGACCTAAATTGTGAAATTCATATTTATTATTTGTTTGAAATCTTTCTTTCAATCACCTAAACATTTAGTTCATTTGCTTTGTTTTTTATTGATTGCATAAGTGCAAATCCAAACATGCATTTTTCTTTTATAGACTCTTCCGGTGGTCCACACCATCACTGGCAACAGACTGCTCCACCGCTGACTGGCAACAGGGTTGGAATGCTGCCAAAACCTAGTGTTTTGTCACATCACCAGCTGCCTTCGATGGATGGTTATAATCCACTGTCACCACCTTCTTTAGATAGTGGCTTGAGCAATGAGGAGCCTGCTCCACAACCAAGCACTAATACTAGTTCGGGTTTCACAAAAACTACATTCACATATGAAGAGCTAGCACTTGCCACAAATGGTTTCTCCAGCACCAACCTCCTTGGCCAAGGTGGGTTTGGATATGTGCACAAGGGAATACTTCGTGATGGGAAAGAGGTTGCAATTAAACAGTTAAAAGCTGGTAGTGGTCAAGGGGAGCGTGAATTTCAGGCGGAGGTTGAGACCATAAGTCGTGTTCATCACAAGCATCTGGTATCACTTGTTGGGTACTGCATTTCAGGGGCAGAGAGACTGCTGGTATATGAATTCGTTCCAAATAAAACCTTGGAGTTCCACTTACACGGTAAGACCCTGAAGTTTTTAACTTATTTAAACCCGCAATTGTTGACATAATATACTGCCACTTCTAATAAAATGGACAATATATCTCTAACATCAATGCCTTTAAGCCGAAAAAACAATGGTGGTGCAAAAGCTGTAGTTTAAATTTAATAGCATCAATTTTTTGTAAGTGTGCCATAGATTACTATATATGTCCATGATATTCTACCAGCTATACTGAGCTTTCAAATAAAAGCTGATGAAAAATATTGAGGGAATTTATTGTCCATATAAATTGGGAAGCTAATAAACTGGACTATATGATTTATTGTCCATATAAATTTTGAAATGACACTGATTACCAGCTTGGTTCATCTATCCTGTGGAAAAACCTTATCCTATTATTAAATTATGGATGTAAATAAACCTGGAGTTGTTCAATTATTCTGCGGCATATTCTTGAGGTGTGTCCCTCAATTTTCTACTTGGAGGATAGATGAATGTAGAATGCAGTTTTCAATCTTTGTTTTGTTTTAAAGTTTTTCAGTAGTGAAGTAAACTAGATTTACATGACCGAATTGATGACTCTGTTATTATTTTTTCTGCTTGATTTTTGCTTTAAGTCTGGATGAAACTAGCATTAATGGTAACTTCGAGGATGAGACCGATCTAAACTCACTTAGAATAAGGTAACCAAAATGTATTTGAGTCTGTTTGGTTTTAAGTTGGGGATGACCCCTTATAGAGTGGAGCAGAAGAATAGAATCCATGCCTACGTCAATAAGAGTTTTGTTAAGTTGCGGATGTAATATATGTTGAAGTTTTCCAGTCCTGGTGTAAATCTGATGGTTGGGAAATAACTAACAGAATTATCGCTTCTAATTCTGTGTAAATAGTTCGACTTGATTTTATTTTCGTTTTGTTTTTCTGTTTGTAACATGATTTCTTCAAAGCAAAGTCTTCTGATCTTACGTTTGAATCTTGTTTTCCCAACTTAGGCTCCCTACATTTTGGTAGGTACATCTTGGTACTCCAAGTGTTAAATGTCTATTCTTCTTTAAATGTGGTCTTACTAGAGAGAACTAATGCAGGGAAGGAGAAGCCTCCTATAAACTGGGAAACTCGGATGAAAATTGCTCTAGGTTCTGCAAATGGATTGGCATATCTGCATGACACCAGTGAGTTTTTCCACACAAAATTTTCTTTATTATCAGCTAATATAATTTTGTTTTCTTCATGCTTTTCTTCAATAAATATAGTGTAGTTTCGAAATCACTTAAATATGTTGAAATTTTTTACATGCAGGTCGACCCAAGATTATACACCGTGATATCAAGTCTCCTAACATCCTTCTCGATGACGACTTCAACGCCAAGGTATCAATATATGTCTTTATTCTTTTTGCCACTCACATATCATTCAAATAATACTATGCTATAAATACATTGCACTCTGCCGAAGGCTTTTGTTGATCAGTACAAGAATTATTTAATGATAACTAATGAGAAGAACTCTTAGTTAAGTACACGCCTTGTTCCCAATCTATTGGGTTTGACTGATAAATCCTTTTTCTCTACTCCATTTTATCTGTCGTTTACTAAAGATCCAATAAAGTCAAATTATTTGCAGCCACATCAACTCATTTTAGTTTTTCTTCCTCTTTTAACTTCTTCTATTGGGATTATATCACTCCTATGTATATTCAAGACCTGGTTTAGAGGAATGCATCAAATATCAAATGCCTGGTACATTCTCATTTATTTTTGGGCCTCAATCTGGTATAAGTCAATGCATAAGATGTCATATGCCAAGAAGGAAAGACATCTTGCTTCCATTTCCTCCATTTTTTTTCACCTTTCCACCTCATTCACTGGGAGTTTGGAGCTCTATGAGCAAAAAAATTTTAGGTTTTGTTTGCTTGATTTATAGAAGTGGAATATGAGAAACAACTCAAATGAATGTGACAAATCCCAAGTTCTATTTGAAAGCACTATTTCTTGGCGAATAAACCACTGTTGGTGTGTTTTTTCAGGTTTTAGTTAGGTCGAATTTGGTTCATTTAGTTTATTATTAATGTAATGTTTGCTTACTGACTATTATTTTTGTCTTGAATTTACTATGTTTTATTATAAATCAATATTTAGCTTCCAGCATCATGTACTCAGGTAGCAGATTTCGGGCTTGCTAGGTTCTATTCAGACACTGATACCCATGTCTCTACCCGTGTAATGGGAACCTTTGGGTGAGCTTCCAGAAGATGTCTTCTTATCATTCTCATATTGTAATTTCTATGTAGTTATATTCTTGAATGTTATACTAGGGCTATAATCTAATTTTAAAATAATAAATTTGAGCTTGAAGAATCTTATGATCAGATCTTGTTATAAACGTCATTTAAACATATATCGACACTTGCAGTTATTTAGCTCCAGAGTATGCTCTCACTGGCAAACTAACGGATAAGTCGGACGTCTTCTCCTTTGGAGTCGTGCTTTTGGAGTTGATCACTGGACAGAGACCAATTGATAAAGGTCAACCCTACCTTGATGGTAATATAGTTGATTGGGTGAGTCTATTTCTTTACTACATTTTGGTTTTCTACAATTGAGAAGCTTTCCTCTTCATTTATGTGGAAACAAACCCGTTATTCATTTTGTACTTTCCCCAAAGAACAGATATCTGGCTTTGGATTACCATGCCTACCCTGTACCATTGTGCAGTGCATCTTATTCCTTTATATTTTTAACAGAAGAAATATATTTTCGTCGTTCAGTTGGGACACTGTTATTGTTCAGTGACTGCGGACAAGTAACATAGATTGTCAATTATGTAGGCTAGGCCTTTGCTTACACAAGCTCTGGATACTGGCAACTTTGATACTCTAGCTGATCCTAGGTTGCAGAAGGATTATAACTCCACTGAGATGGCTCGTATGGTTACTTGTGCTTCTGTATGCATTCGTCATTTGGCACGACGAAGGCCACGAATGAGTCAGGTACATCTGCTTATGTTCTCGTAACCTTATTTCTAATTACCTTTTTGCTTTCAAACACGTTCGTATTATTTTGAGTAACAAAAATTTATTCTAAAAAGGACTCCTTTACCAACTCTTGCATCACACTAACTTTTTGCAATGCAGATAGTTCGAGCTTTAGAAGGAAAAATATCCCTGGACGACTTAAACGATGGTATTCGACCTGGAAACAGTGCAATATATGATCCTCATGGGAGCTCAGATTTTGAAGCCACATACGATACCTTTCAGTACAAAGAGGACCTGAGGAAATTCAAGAAGATGGCTCTAGAAAGCGTTGAACACAAAAATTCGAGCGAATGCAGTGGACCAACCAGCGATTTTGGTCTGCACCCCTCGTGCTCCAGCAGCGACGGTCTAAGGACAACTCAAGAGATGAGCTGAGCCCTGATTGTTGAGATACTACTCGGAGGTAGGAACTGTAATGGTGCTTTTTTCAAATTATTTTAGACCTCACTGGCTTCTTTAAACCATGCATTAACTAACGAACTAAGACTTATTTTTTACATTTAAGCTAAGCCAAACGCGCTGACCACATAAACACACGATTGACACTTTGGTAATAAGTTGTGGGCCCTTCACAATTGGTAAAATGTCTTCTGTTGCGGTGGAGCTAAAGTAAGCAAGGGCGGCGCCACCTCCCAATATCAAGAATTTGAGCAACAGACCTCTCTCGGTGAATGGAGCAGCAAATGTCTCAAAGAACTAGCTCTGCAATATCAAGAGGCAAAACTCATTGTGCTAATGAATGACATTTAATGTTGGATAGAACGACAATGATGTGATTAAGAAGAAAAAAACCGCCCAAATTTTCATTTTTAACCATTTTCATTTTTAACCATATATTTTATTGATTTCACAACTTTTTAACCACACATTTTATTAATTTTTATTTCTAAAAATTTTGTCAAGCAACCTCTTAATCATAATCACGGGGCAATATGAAACACTTAAGCATATAATATTAGTTCATGTCAATGTGAGAGGATTATAATTTCACGTTTCTCCATTTATCTTACAAAAAACAAGGCTATCCTAAAAGTTATTAGGTCTATCCATCGTTGAGAGATAGATGGGTACATTATGATAAACTCCACACAATTCATCTTCCAATATTTCTACTCATGCATGCTTGTGTTGGGAAAAATTGAGTGATTTGTGTGTAGATAAATTTATCAACTAAAATTATAAATAACACAATTCAATTAAATGACATAAACATGATTCAAAATATTATAAACATAGAAAGTAGAGCTAGAAACCAAGCCTTGTGAGTCACGTCGAGGACGCTGTCCTAAAGTCGTGTTGTCTCCCCTTCGTGCGGGTTATTTCTATACTACATGACTCCAAAATAAAACTCATGTGGCTCTCCTTCTATGGGCACGACCATAGGAAGATAATTGAACGAGCCTTTGATCGAATTGCCAAAATATAAGAATATAGTATAAATTATATAAAATGTTTTCTTCCAAATTATTATATTCTATACTCCTTTGCAATGAAATGTAACCACCTTATATATATATATAAATCGACCCCCACAATTAAGTCATTAAAATAGAGGATATAACATGAATCATGATGTTTTAATTGTGTTAAAACTGATTATTAAATAAATAAAAACAGAAAATTAAATAGTTTAAATGTTGAAAGATTAAAATTTAATTTTAAGTTACAACAATCCCCCACAAGTTTTAAGCTTTCAAAATGATTAAGAGCTTGTTTGGGAGTGATTTTAAGAATTGATTTTTTGATCGTTAGAAGAAAAGTGAGGTCCACCTGTGAGAGAAGAAGTCAAATATGACGACTGAAATAGTGAAATAACGGTCAAAAAATCAATTTTTTGGATGAAAAAATCGGGCCCAAACAGGCTCTAAAAATATATTTTATAGTGGCAACATAATACTATGCAATAGGTGTATGTGTCTTTTGGACTTGAACCTCAATTAGTGGTAACAATTTCCATTTGAGGGAACCATAATGGACTAAACTTTGAATTAGGTCCCTTTGGCCAAACTTCAATTGTTTCACACCCAGCATCGATTTAGGCTCAATTCATAGCGGGTAACGCTGTTGATGGCAATGCGCTCTAATCTTGATTCTCGTAAAAGTCTCTAGTGAATAACCCAATCTCATAGCCACGGCCTCATGACAACTCTTATATAGGTAGTCCTCCAAGGGTGTGTGTGACCCACACCTCGCGAGAGTTCTCGCCTCGGTACTCATTTAGGGTTAAACCCTTCCTAACATCACATTATTATTATCATTATCACCATAGGGATGAGCATAATATAAGTAGTGTAATTACAAGTCACGCAATACGGGTTGTTTCTACCACATTGAACCTTCTTCATGGGATCTCCAATCACAAATGTTGGATTACTTCCGGAGGTGACTTCCTTATGGGCTTAAACTCATCCTACTCGATTATATATGTATATTTATGTACACAGAAATGATCTCGCACCGGTGCTCAGCTTAAGCACTGGTGACATGACATGTCATTTAATTGGTGAATAAGTTAATGGTGGGTCTCATGTATTTAATGATTCACCAATTAAATGATATATCAAGTCACCGGTGCTTAGGAGATCATATATATATATATATATATATATATATATATATATATATATATGTCCATGGACTTCAATATATTCATGTCCCTCTTGGACAATAATTTGGTACTATCAATTTGCAAAGCTTTTATTCTTCACATGTAAATCTGCAAAATCTACTAAAATTTTCAAAATATCAATATCACATATCTAAGTTTAGTAAGATAAATATACGAAATTTTAATATTGATTTTAGTAATACGTTCGAGCAGATGAATCCATTAAACTCTTGCATTTCACCTGCAAACTTCATATTCAATGTGAACATTTTGATAAATGTGTCAATTCCAAAATAATTATGAATAATTATGGATATGGATAAAGCACACAAATATTCAATATTTTTAATACCCCCACATTTCAAAGATATCAAACTTCAATTGAGTAAATATATGATCTTACAAATTATTTATTTGTTAAGATAACATGTTGTGAGGAGATGGTCGGTGCACGTGTTTATCAAACCAAATATTTCCAACTTTTCCTTAAACACATTCGCAAAATATTAGTCGTAAAGGTAAAGAATAATCTCCTAAAACAAGCAATAATATAGCGCTTGTTTGGTAGAGATTATAAATCCAATCTTCATATTGCTCAAAACGTCAATATCATTACAATAAAATAGTCATAGATAGAGCTCACATGAGATCTTAGTTTCATGTTTCATAATATGAACTATTGTACAACTACTTAACAGTTTACAATCCTTTAAATGCATGACATGAATTATGATATGAAGTTCTTAAACTCATTGTGCAAAATTCATGAAATAAAGCTTTAGACATCCTTTCTTATTATACACGTTATATACACTTAAATTGATAACAAATAATATACTCATATATCTTTGTACTTATGATATGTAGCTCTTGTACAGTAACAATTTACATTCCTGCGTTCAAAACGGCTTGAATGTCTGAACCAATAAATTAGTTTTGTTCTATTACACTCTAGTTCAATCATTTTATCTATTTATTTATGTATTTTTTATTAATTTTTAAATACAATCATGACTTTCTTACATTACCTAGTAACATCACTTGATTATCTATTTTACAAACTAAAATATTAATTTGCTTCCACTAGGAAATCTCATTTTGTCGTGTTTTCTAAACAAATTAATGCATATCAATTACAAAGAAACCCATGAAAATACAATTCATAATATGTGGTTTACATACATAAGATACCAGCCTTTATAGCAAATAAAATATAGATACTAGTGTTTTGCCCTTCTCGGCACCTTAAAAAAAAAAAAATCAGTGCTTCCACGAACTTAACATTTAACCTTATTCTTGTGTATGCCCTTATCACTTAATCATGAGTGTCAAGTGTATAAGACTTTAAAGGCGTCCTTCCTACAAAAATTTCTCAGCAGAAAAATCACGCGAGTAAGTAGATTTCAATTTACTCAAATACATGCATCCTTAATATTTCTCCCTTTTAATTAGAAGGGATATATATATATATATATATCCTACATTCAATTTTTATAACTAACCTATGAACATGATGGCTGATGTCCTAGCACCCACAGTTAATGCATTTAAAAGGTAAGTTACACTCCACAATTAAGATTTTTAACTTTATATTGTTTAACTTTATATTAAAACTGAAATTAAAATGGTTGAATGATTAAAACTGACTACTATATTTTACAACACCACTCCCACAATGTACAGCAAATCTTAATAATCTATCCTGGAAATAGTCCTGAAAGAAGACAAGAGTTGATCCGATGGGGATTCTTGAGTATCAAATAGTTAAACATATTAATCCCAATACATACATTTTGAGAAGAAATTACACGAGAAGTGGTCACTTAAGTTTTTTTGGACAAGAACTATTCGCTGCCATATTTGGACCAAAATGCAAATGAAAATGGCTGCTATCTGTTTGAGGATAATGATTCTGGGACAAACTTTTCAAAGTTATCACTGAACCAGTGTATGCATAAATTCAAAACATCAAGTTTCTTTTCCTGTCAACAAACCTTTCCAGTTTACCAGTGATGCGGCAAAATATTTTAAAAGAACACTGGGGAAATATGCATAAGAATGCAATAAACTTGATGCCACAGATAGAATTAATTATAAAATTTTCGGATGCTGAATCTTAATGATTCTGGGACAAACTTTTCAAAGTTATCACTGAACCAGTGTATGCATAAATTCAAAACATCAAGTTTCTTTTCCTGTCAAACAAACCTTTCCAGTTGACCAGTGATGCGGAAAAATATTTTAAAAGAACACTGGGGAAATATGCATAAGAATGCAATAAACTTGATGCCACAGATAGAATTAATTATAAAATTTTCGGATGCTGAATCTTTCCGTTTTTATTTTTAATAGTCTAGTTTCACCATTGGTTAAGCCAAATTTTTTTTTTTTTTTTAATACATTATAGGAAGTGAGCATGAGAAATACGAGGTATTTTATTATCACAAGCCCATCCATGCTGAATGAGTTCAAATGACCTAAAGGAAGCACTTCTTTAAAATTTCTCACCAAGTTTACTTATCAAAAACCTAAAAATAATAATCATGAACTCCATAATTTCAAGATTAAACATATAATCGTCTTGATAATTAGTAATCCAAATGTAATAATCACAAATAGTTTCAAAATCAACAAACCATAAAATGTGAAAACTTAAATGTACTTTTCTGAGGGGAAAAAATAAAAATAAAAAAAGATTCTCACACACTTTCATACAATTGGCCATACCTGTATCCTTTGTGTGAAACAGTGGAAAAAAGAATTTTAACCAACTAAGAAAGTGCATCACAAACTTAATCCAATGTCCAAAGGGGAACCTCTTAATATGTCATTGGTCCATAAGATACTGAAATGCAACAGATACACGCATAGGATATATATGCAATTTAA